AAAATATTTAATATTTTCTGTAAAAATAAATTATGTACTTTATACTTCATTGTTATTCTATTAAAGTATTCAGACGACAGTTACATTCATTGTTGGCAGCATGCTCAAACATTCTTATTTGACATTCCCTCATGCATGATAAAATGAGGTGCAAGCTGTTCACATGGGGAAAAGAAATCAACTTATTTTCACAGGAAAGAAAATGATACATGAAATAGAATTAATTAAAAAACCGAAGTGTCATATGACAGGGATACAAAAATTCACTAAGAAAATATATTCTTCAAGACCTTTGAGGTGACATAACCTTTGACTGTACTTTAATCAAAGGTAGTTTTCATCATGCTACCCTGTAACTTCCATCAAATTAGCATGCTTCTCAACTGCAGGTTGTCGCCCCCTCCTATAATTTAAAGCATAGAGTTTGGTCAGTTGGCTGAAGCATAGCAGTTGCACTTGTGACCTTTCACAAAAGAGCCAGAGAAGAGCATCTCCACTCTAAGCGTGGTTCGCGACAGCAGCACCTCTGGCACCAAGCAGACCCGTTTTCCATGTGGCGGCCAGGTGGCAGAGGTCTCTGGAGTGGCACAACATGAAAACAAGCCTGACACGTACGGCAGAGACATTCTAGAGCCGAATTTGCTGGTTCACCTAGCAAACAGGTGAAGGATAAGAACTGAATTGAGTTTAACCAAACAGGAAGTATTTGTACTTATCCCCGAGGGACGCCTGAGTGGCAATTTAGAAATGAGCCTGCCTTCTGCTGTTTCTTCTTCTTTATCTTCTTTTTCTTTTTCTTTTTCTCAGCCTTATTTTTGCTTGGCTTCTTTTTCTTATTTTCCTCTTTATACCATGGTCCCCAGACTCCTCCGTTGAGCCGAGGGTTGCTCCTGGGGTCTCTGGGGGGATACCGGACCGGCACTGCGGTTTTGTTGAACTGGGAGAGCCTCCGCAGGAGCTTCTTCACGATTCCGGGATACCTGTGCGACAGGTCCACCCTCTCATACGGGTCAGCCGTGATGTTGAAAAGCCACACACTCTTGCCAGTGGACAAGGTGATCCGTTCATTGTGCCAGCGGTTTGGCCCCAGGTTGCTGAAAGACTGAGGCGGAACCCAGTCGCTGTAGCCGGGGTTTCCGGTGAGCAGCTTCCAGTGCTGCACCCGGATGGCCGACTGGATGGCCGTGTTCCAGATCCCGTAGCCCGCCGCCCAGGAGCCATTTTTTGCCTTGGTGTAGATGGGATCAATGTTGTGCAAAATATCCACTCGGGGTGAACGAAGGCCTTCGCTTATGGTCTCCCAGATGTCGTAGCCATCTAGTTGAATGTCCTCATCGATCTGCCCTTCGGCCAGTGAAATCAGAGTGGGGTACCAGTCCGTGATGTGCACAAGCTCCTTACACACGGTTCCCTTGTTTTTCAGAAGCGGGCTATGCACAAAGCCAATAGCCCGGATCCCCCCTTCCCAATAGGTTCCTTTGCTACCTCTGAGAGGCCAGTTACTCCCTCCTGCCGTGGGCTGGCCACCATTATCTGAAGAGTAAATGATGATACTGTTGTTATAGAAACCATATGTCTTCAGAGCCACGGTCACATTGTTGATTGCTTCGTCTAAGCAGGAAAGCATGGCCGCATACCTCCGCCGGTTTATGTTGACAATGGACCGGTAGTGTTCAAAGTACCTGACGGGGGCTTGCAGCGGTGAGTGAACAGCCTGGTAGGCAATGTATAAAAATATAGGCTTTGTGGGGTTATGGGAAGCTAAGATTTGCTGCACTCTCTGAGTGTACATCTGTGTGGAGTATATGCCATTGTCGTAGTCCCAGGCAGCATTGTCATTTTCATACAGGTCATAGCCACACATCCCAGGACTGTCACATTTGTAGTGTGTATAGTAATCCCCACTTCCCAAAAGAGAACCAAAAAAGGTATCAAATCCTCTCTTGGTGGGCATGCATTCTTTTCTATAAAAACCCAAGTGCCATTTTCCAACCATATGCGTTGAGTATCCAACCTCCTTCAGCTTCTGAGGTAGGGTTGCATTGTCCAGAGGTAAACAGTTGGGTTGGGTAGGTCTTATGATAGAATGTTGAAGTCCGGTGTGTATCTGATATCTTGAAAAAGGAGTAAAAATTTTGTTAGGGCAGGAGAAAGAAGATACTCTACATAAAACAGTGATTCCTAAATTAAATAATGTTTAATTATTGTATATGAAGAGAAACTTTACCCCAAGTAATAACAGGACCAATTCAACCTTTCTACTCTTAACTCAAAAGTCTTACCCTAATTAGCTTCATATTTAACATCTGAAATACATGTGAATCTAAATCAGTATTTTTGAAACTAAGATTTCATGACTTTTCTCAAGAGCCTTTTTAAAGTTTTAAAGTTCTTATAACAGAATTAACATTTGCACAAAGTTTTGTAATTTATAGACTTTCTTTCATCTGCATTATTGTATTTAATTCTCACTACAACAATGAGAAGTGGAATTCTTTATGTTCATTTTATAGATGGGAAATTAGAAATGTAGAGAAGTTATGGTATTCTCCCCAACATCTCAGCCTGCCCCACCAGGCTGTGAGACTGATTCCTGAAAAACAGGGGCTAAGTCTAATGCTCTCTCTGTTCTTTTAAAGAGTTAATATTAGTACTTTTTGAAAAATCAGGGAGCAGAGGAAAGATGCCAGAAGGCTTGAGAAGAGAATCTGTTCTAACTTTCCAATTAAAGTAAGGAAGGATTTGTAAACCGGATAGTGAGACTTATGTTGATCCCAGAGAAATTTGAGAATGATTTTTTTAAGGAGATGATTTGTGAGCATTTCAAAAAGAACAAATTAGATAGAGTCAAAAAGAAAAGTACTGCCAAGTTAGCTTCATTCTCTCTCTCTTATTTTTTAAAAGATCAGCATTTAGGTAAATAGCTTAGGAACGATTTAGCATTTGAAAAAGCTGTCCATGATCTGTTGGCAGCAGCAAATGCCAAGTAGTATATTCAAAATACACTGCAGAATTAATTGTTTGAGGACCCCTGACCTGGAAGGTAGTTTCTGGAGCAGCACAATGGGGTCCTTTCTTTGGCTTCAACTCACTGGTCAGTATTATCCATGACTTGAATAAAGAAATAGAAGAGTTGCTTATTATTTGGGACAAATAGTTAATATTATAAGTAGCAGAATTAAGACTCAAAGTAATCTAAATGACCTGAAATGTTGCTGAAGGAAAGAAGGTTAAATGTAGATAGAAAGTAAGGAAGGGCTCAAAGATTGAAGGGAATATATCAAAAGGATGCAGAAGCCTGATTGAAGGGGCTCTTGGTGGCCAAATCTGGGACAATTTGAGCACCAAAACAAATATAGTGATAATAACAATTTATATTCCCCCCCCAAAAATAGGAAACCCTGAGTCTATAATGATTTAAAGAAATAATAAAGAAATAATAAGTGTGATATGGATTGGAATATTGACATAGTCTAAAAGTATCTTCCCTTAAAACACTTAATGAATCATACAGAGAAATGAGTAACTATATAGGGAGGAGCCCAGTGGACACCATCCTAATCAAGTGATCAAAGTTAACAGCACCAGAAATGGGACAAATCAAAGTCACGTAAAATGACACTGCGCCAGATTGGATGCGGTGAGAAGAGCACAACATTGTTTCTGTGATGTTCCAACCAAAGATGCATAACCTGAACTCAATCCTAAGTAAACATCAGGCAAACCCAAACTGAGGGACATTCTACAAATAAAAAACAGAGGAGCTCTTCCAGTTTGAAAGCAACTGAGGAGGCGTGACCGTCAAATGCAATATGTGATTCTGAATTGGAATGGTTACAATAAAGCACGTACTTGGAGAGCAGGCAAATTTAAATGGAATCTCGGGACTAAATGGGAATAGCAATGTCAATTTCCTGATCTTGATGATTGTTTTGTAGCTAATATAGAATATCCTTATTTGTAGGGAATATACACTAAAGTATTATGGATGATGAGCCATCATGTCGGCAATTAACT